ACTTGGAACTACAGCGCATCTCCAGACTACAGAGATCAGTTCCCCTGGAGGAAATGGATGCTTTGGAGGCTGGACTCTGTGGCCTTGTACCCCACTGAGGGCCCTCTCCTCCCCAGGCTCCACCCCCAAATCTCCAGGAGTTTCCCAACCTGGATCTGGCAACCCTGCCTGAAAGATTTCTGGGCACTAGCCACCGTGCAAGCCTCCACTTGGTCATGTGCTCCTCTCCCAGCTTTCCAGACCTTGAAGGGGTGGTCCCTCCTTCTTTTGGTACATGACTGCCACCACCTGGCCTTTGCAGGAATTACCCTCTGAGATGACCAAGGCTCCCAGCTCCCATTTCCCGCATGCCATTCTAAAGCCCCACCTCATGCCTACATCTCCCGCTATTCAAGCATCTGGTTAGCACAAGGACAGCACACTGCACTTGCGCATCACTGGAGATTAGCAACTTGCCAACTGACGGCACTCCCTTCTCCCAGTGCCCATATGTGTTCAAAGGGTGGACGTCAATGCCGTATAGAGAACAACTGCCAGCATTAAAAATGACAAAACATTCATTAAAAACAACATTTCTATAAGCATACTCTCAGCACAGAAAAAGCTAGCACTAGGGATCCCAAAAGAAAGGTGGAAACACACAGTTTCTCTGTCCCTCACTCTGTACATGCCCTTGCAATTAATTAATTAATTATTGTATGGCATTGTGTGTGGCATAGCCGGGAGAGCTGAGGATTGTCTGGCAGCCTGAAGTTCTAACTCTTTTAAAGGTGAGCAAAGAGCTGCAACTGACCCAAGGTCACCCAGCCGGCTTCACATGTAGGAGTGCGGAACTGAACCCGGTTCTCCAGATTAGGGTCTGCCGCTCTTAACCACTATACCACGCTGGCTCTCTCGTGCCCTGGCAGCTCTCATTCTAAGGCAGGCTCTTTAACTGAGAATTTGTAAGGTTCTAATGGCTCAAGTGGTTAAGACGCTGAACTGCAGGCTGTGGAAGGTCAGTAGTTCAGCAGTTCGAGACCCGAGTGTGCCACATGACAGAGTGAGCTCCCGTCTCTGGTTCCAGCTCCTGCCAGCCTAGCAGTTCGAAAGCAAGAAATTGCAAGTAGATAAACAGGTACCACTTCAGTGGGAAGGTAACAGCGTTCCGTGTGCCTTGGTGTTTAGTCATGCCGGCCACATGACCACGGAAACATCTTCGGACAGCGCTGGCTCTTCGGCTTTGAAACAGAGATGAGCACCGCAACCCTAGAGTCGGACTCGACTGGCTTTCGAGCAAGGGAACCTTTACCTTTACTTTAAAAGCTTCCTATTACCTCAGAGTGTTTGTTCAGGACTGCAGCCCTCCATATAGCAATGGCGGCCTTCAGAAGGAGCCCAGATGTTGTGAGAACTCCTTCCTCCTTGATCAAATCAGCCCCTCCATGCCAGTGGTTTTTATTATCTCTGTTTGCCATCCCCCCTGTCAATCAAAGAAGCCTTTCCTGAAATCTCCAGAAAGAGACCTTCTAGCATCTTAATCTTCCCAAATCTGTCCTCCTTGCTTAGGTGTCACTTTCTAGCTGGAGGTAGGAGTTAACCACTTCACTGTCTCTGGACAGGCAGGCTATTAGCATTTCTAAACGCTGCTGGGTGAGGCTTGAGTTCCCGTCCCCTGCCTGTTCTCTGCTAAGAGGCAGGGGGAAATGTTAAAACTAAGTCTAAGGGTCAAGGTTATGGACAGTCCAATTAAAACATATTTCTCCACACAGGCATGTAATGGCTCTTCAACATTTTATTAATCCCTTTATAGCCCACATATCAGGCTTTGTAGGCAGTGTTCCCTCTAAGCAGAGTTAGTGTGAGCTAGCTCACAGTTTTTTAGCCTCCGGCTCACACATTTTTGTCTTCATTCAGAAAGGATGGCTCCAGAGCAAACTAATGTATGCAGCAGCCAAATTGCTCGCTCACAACTTTAATGCCAGTAGCTCACAAAATCTTTGCTCACAAGACTCCACAGCTTAGAGGGAGCATTGCTTGTAGATAAACAAAGACTATCAGTAATGCAATTTGAGGTATAAACCCTTCCTCTTCTCTTAGTCACTGCCATTAGCTTTAAACCACTGTTCCGAGCTTTGAACATCGCATTCAAAAATCATCCTCTTTTCCATTAAAACTAGAACCTTCCATGCTCCCAGAAGCGGCCATTTCCCCTCCTTATTTACAGGAAGCACCTTTTTTCATTAAATCCCCATTTCTGATGCTAAGGTCACAGCTAGCTGTATTTAATGACCAACATCCAAAGAAACAAGACCCCCTTGTCACAAAAAAAGTAGGCTGTTTGCTCTCTGCTCTGTCTGGCGATCCAAGAGATGAACAGAGGTGATTGGCCATTGCCTGCCTCTGCAAAGCCTCACTCAACTTTCTCAGTGGTTTCCTGTCCAAGTGCTAACCAGACCAGTGCTGACCTTGCTTAGCTTCCGAGATCTGACAAGGTCAGGCTAGCCTGTGCCATCCAGATCGGGGCCCAGGGATCTTACCTGGCAAGAATCCTTCTTTCCTTCTGGGTACCCGGCACAGATCATGTCTTTGTGGATCAACTTGTAGCCCTCCGGCACATCCTCTGTGTCGGAGAAAGTGTTGTTGTGGTACATACGGTCACACTCCTCGACGCCTAGGATTGGCACCTCCAGCTCCTGCAGGGTCCGAGTGACAAAGGGGGCTGGGGAAGGGGAGGAAAACTGAGACTGGGCTCAAATTGGAGAGGCAGGCTCAGTACTTCTTCTCATGCTCACTCCCTGTGGGACTTTGGTAGAGCAAACCTAAGCACAAAGGTACCCTTCTGGCTCCACTGAAGTCAATGGTCTTACAAGGATGTGTGTGACTCTGCTTAGGACTGCATTGTAGACATAAGAAAAAGGTATACCTTCTCAAGGTAAGGCGCTAAAGACTAACCTGTTAAATAAAAACTAGGAATTCAGAGAACCTGCTACACCTGTTGCTGCAACAGTAATAATTAATAATTATAACCAGGCCTCTTTTTGTAGAAAAAGCCCAGCAGGAACTCATTAGCATAATAGGCCACACCCAACAGCAGAAACTCATTAGCATATTGGGCCACACCCCTGACAGCACAGCTCATTGGTACATTAGGCCGCACCCCCATGTTACCAGAAGTGTGGTCATCCAGCCACACCCACCTTTTGCTTGTTATTCTGTTTACCTTGTTTGTTGTCAAAACCCAGGGCCTTTTTTTGTAGCAGGAACTCCTTTGCATGTTAGGCCACACACCCCTAATGTAGCCAATCCTAATGAGTTCCTGCTGTTGGGTGTGGCCTATTATGCTAATGAGTTCCTGCTGGGCGTGGCCAACTTGGGAGCCAGCCGGAACTCCGTTCCTGTGCGTTCCTGCCCAAAAATAGCCCTGATTATAATAATGATTGTATGGCATTGTGTGGAGAATAGCCAGGAGAGCCTAAGATTGTATGGGAGGTAGAAGTTCTGGTTCTTTTAGCATTATGCACCACTAGGTGGCAAGCTAGACTTGGTTTTTTTTAAGGCAAGAGCCGTTTCAGAGGTGGTTTGGGGTAGAGAATGGGGAGGTCTGGCTTTGGGGAGAGGAGGGACCTCAGCAGGGTATAATGCCATAGAGTCTACCTCTAAGCATCAAATTTCTCCAGCGAAACTTGCAGTCTGGAGATCATTTGTAATTCCGGGAGATCACCAGGCACCTCTTAAAGGCTAAATACACAAGCACACCACTGTGTAAAAAGGCTTTGCCAAACGTCAAACCTTATTGCACCATTCAATGAATTTTAAAAAGACTTGTTTATTACTTCTTGAAAATGGCGGCTAAGCAGCTAATCAGAGCAGCCGCAGTTATACATCTATCCTTGAAGTCCAACTCTTGTAAATTTTAAAGCACATATCACACCATTAACGTTCCACAATCGGACAGCAGTCCTTCAAAGTTTAATTAGTGGCCTTCGTATTCACTTGCCAGTAATTAAACTTTGAAGGACTGCTGTCCGACCATTGAACATTGAGGTTTTGTGCCAACCTTGTGAAGTTTTTGTCCTGCTCTCTGAAGAAGGATTTTGGCTTGCGATAAAGGCTACAGCCAAACCGAGGGACTTTGGGTGCGTTTTCCTGTTGCCAAGTTTGCCGGGTCTCTAGCTGCAGAGTTGCACAGCAGAGCCAAGATCGTCGGACTTCAAGGCTAGATGTATAATTGCTACCGAGCTGATTAGCTGCTTTTTCTATAAAGTTTTCATATTATAGGGTTGGTTGATGGTTGTTTGCAACATTGTATGTACATTTCCTGAGCTGATTAGCCACCATTTTCAAGAAGTAACAAACAAGTCTTTTTAATATAACACACATTGGTCGAATGGTGCAGTAAGATTTATTTTGATGTTTGGCAAAGCCTTTTTACACAAGGGTGTTGTTATGTATTGGGACTGAAACATTCCAGGACCACTCTACCAGAGACTGGCTGAGCTTGAAGCCCAAGAACAATATCCCACCAGGACTCTGGAAGTAACCAATCAAGAAGTAATGTTATGTAAACAGACTATAATTGGGAGTGGGGTGCGTTTGGGTGTGGCAATTGCATGCTATTTCGTCTTGTACTTGCTGAAATCACTAATAAAGTAGAGCTGATCACTAGTAGTGGGGTCTGCTCATCCATGGAACCCAGTATTTAGCAGGTGTGTTTGTGTATTTAGCTCTCACACTGTTTCCTGTCTATTCCATTTTGTACACCTCCTAAAGGCTGGTAGCCCTAACCCACTCCCATACAAACATACAAGGCCCAGCCAAGTTCATTCTTACCTTCTGGGTAGAGGTTGCCCCAGCCAGTGACCCAGCATGACATTCCAACGGGGAAGGGGTCCGGATCCAAAGTACTGGGCAGGCAGATGGGCAAGATGGTCCGGGAGACGCGGATGGGCTCTTCCAGCTGCAAGAGCGCGATGTCAGCACTCAGCCCGTCTCCGGCGTAATAGGGATGCACGATGATTTTGACGACAGCGGATGAGACCATGCTGGGCAAAGGCTTAGGAAGCTCATATTCTCCCAGGTGCACTCGGTACTCTTCTGGGATCAGTGGTCTGGAGGGGGGTGGGATCCAAAGAAAAGTTAGTGCCTTCTGCTGAGTCCAAACCTCTATTCCGTCTCAGAGTTCGTTAGGAGGGCTTTGGGGCAATCTCTCCGCTGACTGCAGTGGCCATTCTAATCCCCGTCGCCACAAAGGCAATAGTATTACAATCCCCGTCGCCACAAAGGCAATAGTATTATAAGACCTTACGATCACCCAGGCTAGCCCGATCTTGTCAGATCTAGGAAGTTAAGCAGGGTCAGTCCTAATGAGTTCTTGGATGGGAGACCACCAAAAAAACCAGGGTTGCTATGTAGACGCAGGAAATGGCCTACCTCTGTATTGGAGTGAGCCAAGATTTAAATTGGGGGGTGCCTGGGTCATGCCATATGTTCTGGCTTTAGGGCTGCCAGCCTCCAGGTGGAGCCTGGAGATCTCCTGGAATTACAACTAATCTCCAGACGTCTGAGAACGGTTCCCCTGGAGAAAATGGCTGCATTGATGGGTGGGCTCCATTCTCAGATCTCCAGGAATTTTCCAGTCCAAAGTTGGCAACCCTATCTGCCTTACCACACTACACCAGAGACCAAATAAACACCAAAAAGCGGGGAAATGCTAATTCATTAGCCAGCACTGTAGTGTAAAATCTGCGTCCTGATGCTTAGTTGCTCATATCTTTATAGAAAATTGATTGTTCAATACATTTCATACACATTTTCTTAGCACTCAAGATAAATAGACTGGACCCATGAGCCACTCCTTGCCCGGATGCCCACATTTCAGGTTCGCTAATTATTTTTATCACAACTCACAGATTATGCCATTCTGGCATTAACCACCATAGAACTGGTCCACTGCTGAATTTATACTGATCCTCCCCCACACCACTGCCATCCCTCTGTCTCCCTCTAGTGGTGCATGGGAGGGAGTGTCCCTGCAGCCTCTTTTCTCACCCTTCAAAGCAATGCGCTGCCGTCACCACCCACTGGGATGAGATGAGGCTTCCCCCACAAATGTGCAGCCGGTTGTTCCGTATGCTGACTTGCCAGGGCCATTCCCCTTCATCAGCCTTCTCTCCCCCAACGATCCGAGTGGAAGAGACTTTGGGCCGGCCACAGACTGTCAGGAGATAAGAGAGATGTAGGATTGTGGGAGAGGGTAGAGTTAAGAAGAAGAAGAAGAAGAGATTGGATTTATACCCTGCCCTTCACTGGGAGTCTCAGAGCGGCTTACAAACTCCTTTCCCTTCCCCTCCCCACGACAGACACCCTGTGAGGTGGGTGGGGCTGAGAGAACTCTGACACAAACTGCTCTTTTTCAAGGACAGCTGTGCCAGAGCTTGTGACTGACCCAAGGTCACATCAGCAGGTGCAAGTGGAGGAGTGGGGAATCAAACCCGGTTCTCCCAGATTAGAGTCCGCACACTTAACCAATACACCAAACTGGCTCTCTTAAGGGGAGCATTCTTCCATAGCAAATGCAAGGGAAGCCACAGAGTTACTGAGGCCGAATATTTTTATCTTCAGTGAGCAAAAGCATCTCTTCTCTCAGAGGATGTGCACAAAAAAAAAAACCTAAAGAAGAAAAAAGCAAAGGGATTTTGAGAAGTCTCTGTAGGACTGCAAAAGTTAGGAGCCCAGGTAAGAGGGAAGAAAGCACAAGACATGGACAGAAAGAAAGAAAAAAATGGTTGAACGAACCAGAGAAATGGCCAGGGGCTGAACTAAGCATAGAACAATCTGTGCATTTCTTGCTCCAGGGCAAATATTGGGGGATGGGGGGCAATGTTCCCTCTAAGCTGAGGAGACTTGTGAGCAAAAATTCTACTTCGTGAGCTACTAGAATTAAAGTTGTGAGCAAGCAATTTGGCTAGTGCATACATTAGTCTGCTCTGGAGCCATCCTTCCTGAGCTGAGACAAAACTGTGTGAGCCAGAGGCTAAAAAACTGTGAGCTAGCTCACACTAACTCAGCTTAGAGGGAACATTGATGGGGGGTTAAAATCAGGACAGTGACAAACAGAGAGAAAGAGTTAACAACCCCTTTCCTACACCTTGATCCAGTATTGATTTTCCTCTGATGGCAACTATTATAGATTTTTAAACAAAAAAAAGTACATCAAATCATGGATCTTCTACTGCTTGGCAGGTGGGTGGGCAGGGAGGAAGGAAGGAAGGAAGGAAGGAAGGAAGGAAGGAAGGAAGGAAGGAAGGAAGGAAGGAAGGAAGGAAGGAAGGAAGGAAGATTCAGTTTCAAAATTTAGTTAGAATAACTTGACTGGATACCCACAATTTGGATTTTGACATTTTCATGTAAGCTATATTTTCTTAAACATTAGTTTCTGGTATCAGTTCCATGAGGTTCACCAGAGCAGATAGTAGACAAACAGAAGTAGAAACAAAGAAATGGATGGATGGTCAGATGGATGACATTAAGGAGAGAGAAACACGAGGAAATGAATCAATGCGTAATAAACAAAGCCAACGGGATGTGTTGATGAGGAAAAAATGTGACCAAGGTATGTGTATAGCGATGAACAACATGAATGGAAGCTGTACCCGCATGGAAAATCTATGCCCCAGACAGGCTTTCTCTTCCCATAAACAGAACATCAACATAATGTCTGCAGGGGTCTTCTGTGTGCAGCTGACAGAGAACCATCTTGCAATAGCAGCCTCTCTGTATCAAGCAGGAATCTCAAAGGCGCACATAGCCAGATGGTTCCAGCCAGGTGCTGCTCCAGAGTTTCTGCCTGGGCTTGCTCCAGAGGCGAAGCCTCTTCCAGGAATTCTGTAAGGCAGTTTTGGTTTTGGCCCAGTCTTTCATGTTTCCCATTTTCCTGCCAATCCCAGCTGATTTCCTGAGTCTAAAGGGCAGGGCAGATCATGAACGGGAGCAATTAAGCAATTAAAAATAATATACGGTTGTGATGGAACGCGCTGTGGATGTGGGTAGATGGGCGTGGTCGCCACGCGCTAATGGTGAGGGATGCGCATGCTAAAGAAAGAAGGGAGTGCAGAGGAACAGACAGGCAAATGAGAGGTTTGCAGGGAGAATGATTGGCACAGGTGGATAGTAAAAGAGCTTACAGGGAGGGATACGTGGAGTGCTCCAGCCCAGAAGTATTTTGGAGCATGCTCATTCTGTGCCTCCCAGGCCATAAACACTATCCACAAACGTCTCTGCCTGAACCTCCACCTCTTGTGGTAGGTCTTGAAGCAGGAAATATGGTCAGCACATGCAGGAGAATCAGTTTTATGTACATGTGGGGGGGAAACCCTCACAACACATGGAGTCTCCCCCCCCCCGATCTCTGTACTTCCTTCCCCCGTTTCTGTCTTTGCACTAAAACGTGAGCTGCATGTTTGATAGCCAGTGTGGTGTAGGCTTGCCAAGTCCCCCGGGGGGCGGGGAAACCCCCGCCCCAGAGGCCTGTTCCCCGCCGCCGGTGGATCGGGCCCCGGGGGGAGCCCCACCCCGACGTGTGCGTCACCCGGAAGTGACGTGACAACACCGGGCACGCTGGGGGCGGGGCCACGGTCATCCGAGGGAAAACTCTATGGTTTTCCCTCTGATGGTCGTGGCCCCACCCCCAGCATGCCCGGCGTCGTCACGTCACTTCCGGGTGATGTGCGTGCGGCGTGCGCGCGTACTCCAGCCGCCAGCCGGGAGTCCCCCGCTGCGGCACGACACCGGACTTGGCAACCCTAGTGTGGTGTAGTGGCCAGAGTTTCAGACTCAGATCTGGAAGACCCAGGTTCAAATCCCAGGAGGGGAGAGTGATGCTGGAAGCTGCCTTGGGTCCCCACTGGGGAGGAAAGCAGGATATCAGTCAATCATCTATGCTCACCTTCGAACAGCTGAAGTTAGTTTGTATCAAAAGCATCTTGGTAATTTTTTTACAAAATTTAGAGAAGGAAAGAGAGAGTAAGAGCTGGACAAAAAGACAGAACAGGGACTTAGACATTTAGGAATATCCCTGTGGCTACAGGGAGATGGAAGTAATTTTTTTACATACTATAGAATCATAGAGTTGGAAGAGTCCTCCAGGGTCATCTAGTCCATCCCCCTTGCACAATGCAGGAAACTCACAAATACCTCCTCCTCCACACCCACAGAGGAGAGAGACTGGCCTGGAGAAAAATTGCTGCCTGACCCCCAAAGTGGCGATCAGCATTTCCCTGGGCGTGTAAGAAAGGGCCACAAGAACTAAGCACTGAGGCGGCTTCTCAGGATCTGCCTAAGTTCACAGGATCAGCATTGCTGTCAGATGGCCACCCCAACCCCTGCTGCAGAACTGGGGTTTCAGGAGCCATGGAATAACCCCCAGCCAACTTTTTCTGGTGGCCCCTTCAGCTAGTTTTTAGAAGGCTTCGGGGACATGATTTGGCTATTATTCATTCAAGGGAGGGAACACGTGCTGTGGATGTGGGTAGATGGGCGTGGTTGCCACGCGCTAATAGTGAGGGATGCGCATGCTAAAGAAAGAAGGGAGTGCAGAGGAACAGACAGGTAAATGAGAGGTTTGCAGGGAGAATGACTGGCACAGGTGGATAGTAAAAGAGCTTACAGGGAGGGATACGTGGAGTGCTCCAGCCCAGAAGTATTTTGGTGCATGCTCATTCTGTGTCTCCCAGGCCATAAACTCTATCCACAAACATCTCTGCCTCAAACTCCACCTCTTGTGGTATCCTGCATACAGCTTTATTAGGGTACCTTCCCGGCTATCTTTTCTCACCTCTTTGAGACGAACTGTTTTCAGCACCTGCAAGAGGAAAGAAGGAGGAGTTAGAAAAGCATATGGAAAGACTGGGGGGGGGGCATTTGGCAGATATGGATTGAGCGGTATTTGTTTCGTGATAGTCCACCAAGCACAATCTGTCAGGAGCCCACCGAAATTCCAACTCCGGCCCACGGTGGCATGCCGCGGAATCTGGGGCGGGGCCGGGCAGGCCGGGCCGGGCCACTCACAGCCACAGAGGAATGCCAAAGGGAGGTGTCTCGTCCAGCGCGACAACGGATCCGTCTCTGGGGTGTTCTAATCAGCATCTCCAGTCTCCCAAGCATGGCATTGCAGAAAGGAGAACAAAGGGGTAACTCAACCCTCCCGTGGGTTGTACAGAAGGAGGGATTGTATCGGTCCAGCTGAGAACTTGCCAGGATGCTGGCTTCACACCCTGACTCAGAGGGTTAGCCTGAAACAGGCTTGTGGATAAACAGTGCAAAGAAATAAATACAAATACGACCTGAAGTGTAGTGCACTGCGTGGACACAAACAGAGAAATCCCCCCAAAGCATCAAACTCTGCAGTGTAGTATCCCACACAAACATGCCAAATCATGTCTATGAGAGTTAGAATTGGGCTGGTATAGTCCAGCACACACAAGGACCCCAGTTCTAGTCGCTCCTCTGCCACTGACTCCCTAGATGGACTTGGGCAACCCACTCACTTCTATCTTCAGGGCCTCCCCTCTGAAATACGAGGTTACTAATAATGATCTACTTTTCAGGGCTGTTGTTGGGGATTAGAAGATCATGTGTGTGAAGCGCTTTGAACAATGAGGACCAAGCTAGATGAAATCATCTGTGATTAAAGTCTTTTATGGTATTTTTAAACAGTTAGTTAGTGGCACCAAGCAGCTGTTTTGGTTGCCGAGAGGAGGAGATGCTTTAACCCTCTCCTCCTGTGTCTTTTCCACACTTCAAAACATTCCTCCAAAGCTGCAATTAGCTCTGTGGGCACGAAAGGACAGGTTCAGGTGTTCATAAGGTTAAAACATCCTATTTCCCCAAACTTCAAAGCAGGAGTGTGGCTTGGACTCGGCCCTGGAGGTGCTATTTAAGTTATTAAGTACGATTATGATTAATATGAGCTGGCAGGGGCCCCAGGCAGTGTTCCCTCTAAGCTGAGTTAGTGTGAGCTAGCTCACAGTTTTTTAACCTCTGGCTCAGACATTTTTGTCTTAGCTCAGGAAGGATGGCTCCAGAGCAAACTAGTTTATGCAGTAGCCAAATCGCTCACTCACAACTTTAATGCCAGTAGCTCACAAAGTAGAATTTTTGCTCATGAGACTCCACGGCTTAGAAGGGAACATGGACCCCAGGTATTTACTAGATCCACGGCAGGCAGAAATCCCACCAGCAAAGTCTTTTGCGCCAGGAGAAAAACACTGCAATGTACTTGCCGAGCAGCTGGACTGTCGCCAGAGCAGGGGCCTAAGATGATGCCCAGGGGTGGAGATATCATTCAGGCATGCTGTGTGCCGGATCTCTCCCTCCTCTAACTTGCTAGATTCCCTCTTGCAACCTCCACCTTCACATGGAGCCCAGGGTCTAGATCATGAGCCTTTTTCCTTTACCAAACTAGAGCTGGTACCCAGAGATGCTGAGGGGCTCCCTGGCTTCTAGGCCCCTTGAATTGACCAAACCCCTCTCCAAGAGCCCAGCAGTCCTTGCTCCTAGAGCTACCCACTTGCAACCGACTAGACTCCACTCCCCTCTCAGAAAAGCCAGGATCTGCCAAATGGTATAGCAGTGATCCTTCGTAACAATACAGAGTACACCATCCTGTATTCTTCTCCTCCTCCTCCTCCTCCTTCTCCTTCTCCTGGGACAAGAGACCAGGGATTGTTCCCACCTCTCCAGGTGACCTCCCCAACCTCCTGGCCACTCACCTGTCAGCAGCAGGAGTAGCAACACAATCTGTGAGCGGCAGAGAATCGGCATGGTCCAGCCAGCCCTAGGTGATCCTGCTCTGATGCCCCAGAGAAGAGAGAGAGAGAGAGCGCGAGACAGAGCACTCTGCTGGGATGCTGGAGCCAAGCACCCCGTGGCAGGATTGGTGCCTGACAAAAAGGGAGCAGCCCTCTTGGCGTCACTAGGAATCCGGGAGCTGCCAAAAGCCTGAACCTGATCTGTGGGTATTGTCCTCTCCACCCCACCCCCCAAGCACCCAGTGAGGCCAGCCAAGCGGCCTCCTCCTCCTCGTCTTCGCTGGGAAGCCAGCCTTCCCTGCCCATCTCTGCCACCTTCTCTGGGCAAGGAGAAGAAGCCAGTGGCTTGAGAGCCTGAGGGAAGGAGGTGTGAACTGAGCGGCAAGATTCTCTGGGGAAGACGGATGTCGGTTGGTCGGGTGAACCAACGCGGAGGGGTCCTGTATAGTCACAGCAGGGCCATTGCTGGAGGGGGGATGGACACTGGCGCCCACTGATTCACCGCACCCAAATATTTTGTTTCTAAAAGGCTTTTCAATGTGTGATGTGACTGTTTCCATCTAAAGACTGAAAGGAATTTGGGGGAGTTTAACATTAGCAAGAAGTGCTCCTCCCCCCGCAAAAAAAAAAAAAAACAACTGGTGGTGGTTTCAAACTCCACCCAGCTGACTCCATTCGCTCCCCTCTGCCCCAGATTTTTCTTGGCATAGGGTGAGCTTTTCAAGATCGCTATCGGTCTGACTAAGCTAAAGTGATCCAGAAGAAAAGGCCCCTTTATCTGTGATGAGTCTGAGCGTGCCTGGCCGAGGGCTTAAAAGGGGGTGGGGAAAGGGGAAATTCAAGCAAGGGGTGGGCAGGTGCCTCGGTTGAGGGGCCGGATCCTCCCAGCCAAGCTGCTTGGGGGAGCCATCTTGTCCTGGCTGTTTGGGAGCGGTGCCAATCTCCAGGAGGGGCCTGGAGATCTCTAGGAATTACAACTGCTGTCCAGATTACAGAGATCAGTTCGCCTAGAGAAAATGGCCCTGCTGAGCTCCCTCCCGAAACCCGACCCTCCCCAGACTCCACCCCCGAATCTCCAGGAATTTCAATGTTCTCACCTTCTGAATGGTAGTGACTGGTCTTACCCAGAATGCTTTGCCCTTGAGCCATGGCCAACTTGAGGGAGGATAATGGCGTTACCATTCCCTCCTCGCACTGACCCAGCCACCCTCTGCTTCCACCACTGCTGGTGCCACTCACTGCCCATGCTGTCCCCCATTCTGTGGCACACTATGAATGAAGACACCCCAGAGGCCTATGTGATATTACAGGCACCTCGTGTGCATCGTTTCCTTTCGTGTGAGGCACCAGCTGTCCCTGCTAAGTCACAAGTGCATCCTTTCTGCACCATAGTGCAGTGTATGAGGTGCCACACTGGATCATGATCCCACGATCATGTGTCTTTTGTCATGTTGGTGGTGTTCCCAGGTGCCCTGAGCGAGCTCAGGGGAGATCCAAGAGAGGCTGAGAGCCTTCTAGGACTGCCATTCACAGCATAATGGAGGGGGAATCCTGGGAAAGGAGCCCAATGGAAGCCACCACCAAGGGATACTGGAAGACCCTTAACTGGATCTCCCAATGTTTAAAAGGCCACTACAGATGCAGGGGACAGAAGTTAACCTCCCCTATCCTGGAATGTCTTTGGCATGCCAGATCACCCTAAAGGTTGAACTTAGACACAACCACACCAATGTTCCCTCTAAGCTGTGGAGTCTTTTGAGCAAAAATTCTGCTTTGTGAGCTACTGGCATTAAAGTTGTGAGTGAGCAATTTGGCTGCCACACCAATTAGTTTGCTCTGGAGCTATCCTTCCTGAGCCAAGACAAAAATCTGTGACCCGGAGGCTAAAAAACTGTGAGCTAGCTCACACTAAATCAGCTTAGAGGGAACACTGAACCACACCCAAAACCAGAGACTCCTTAACAGAAAAACAGAATGCATTTAACGTGCACGGGTCCAAGAACACCAGGCTCAAGGACCATGATTTGAGTTTTCACAGTATACTTATAGAAATTTAGAAAGGAACTGTGTTACAACTTTCAACATATACTTCTTGGCAGGAAAACATATGATTGGTTCAGAACTTGGTGGTCTGACCGATCTCTGCTGTTGCTTAGGCATGTGACACTTCTTTTACTCAGGTTGCGGTCAGACGTGCCTTTAGATCCGACACAGCTGGGAATGCTGATGAATCTAAAGTGCACAATATGACAGCAACCTCTGTGAAAGGGTCCACCCCATGCTGTCCCGCCACAGAAACAGAGTTAAAAGACACGGGGAAAATCCAGTCCTAACATTTGCAGACGAGCCACAGATGGATTTTCCCTAGTCTGATCACTCAAGCATGCACAGAGCAGTCCATCCCGACTCGGTGACATTTTCCCCCACTTAGCGATAACCGCATAATCGACCCCATCTCCAGGCCAGCTGTGAAAATGAGTGGGAAAGGCAACCACGGCTCACTGTGAATCAGGGATCACAGTGCTCCATGGAAGGATCAGAGAGCTGTGACAGCGGCAACTCGAATCCCAGAAATTGAAAAGCACATGTGAAAAAAACTGCACCCTCATTTATGCGCATGGGCAAAAGCAGGCAAAAAAAAGGAAACCAGCCTGCCCACGAGG